AGCCAGCAATCTACTTCGGCTGTGTTTCTCTTAATTAAAGTCGACTACACTTTCAGTCTAACAAACAAGATGATGGGCCCCACGCTTGCCAAGGATACCCATATCGTAGCGGGCCATTCCGAAGAGTTGTGGGCCACAGGGTGCTCACAGGGTTACTAAAGTCGGTACGATGACATGTCCACCAGAGTATTCAGCCCGGAATGCCGTCATGTTCCAAGCCTGTCAAGGCGCCTAGTACTCGGCCTCAACTTCCTCGCCCTCCATCGAGTCGGCGGCAACCTCCTCGTAGTCGCGCTCCAGAGCCGCCAGATCCTCGCGGGCCTCGGAGAACTCGCCTTCCTCCATACCCTCGCCGACGTACCAGTGCACGAAAGCACGCTTCGAGTACATGAGGTCGAATTTGGACGACAGAGCCGACCAGGCCTCGGCGATGGCCGTGGTGTTGGAGAGCATGCACCTAACATGGGGTTAGCGACACGGCTTGTAGGGCGAAGCTGAGGGAAGACGTACACAGCGCGGTTGACCTTGGCCAGGTCGCCGTTGGGCACCTGGTGGGGGGGCTGGTAGCAGATACCGAGCTTGAAGCCAGTCGGGCACCAGTCGACGAACTGGATGGTCCGCTTGGTCTTGAGGGTCGCCACGGCGGCGTGGGCGTCGTTGGGGACGACGTCGCCGCGGTACAGGAGGCAGGTGGCCATGTACTTGCCGTGGCGGGGGTCGCACTTGACCATCTGGTTGTTGGGCTCAAAGCACGACATGGTCATCTCCTGGACCGAGTTGGCCTCGTGAGCAGCCTTGGCGGCCGAAATCACCGGGGCATAGGCAACGAGCGGGAAGTGGATACGCGGGTAGGGCACCAGGTTGGTCTGGAACTCGTTGAGATCGACGTTGAGCGAGCCGTCGAAGCGGAGGGACGCGGTGATGGAGGAGACGACTGCGACCTGTCAGCTTGGCACATCATGTTCAGCGTCCCCGGGCAGTGACCTACCCTGAGCAATCAGGCGGTTGAGGTTCTCGTAGTTGGGGCGCTCGAGGCCCAGGTTGCGACGGCAGATGTCGTAAATAGCCTCGTTGTCGACCATGAAGGAGCAGTCGGCGTGCTCGAGAGTGGTATGGGTCGTCAGAATCGAGTTGTACGGCTCAACCACCGAGGTGGCGGTCTGGGGCGCGGGGTAGACGCAGAACTCCAGCTTGCTCTTCTTGCCATAGTCGACCGACAGGCGCTCCATGAGGAGAGCACCGAAGCCGGAGCCGGTACCGCCGCCGAAGGAGTGGAACACAAGGAAACCTTGGAGACCACTGCAGTTGTCGGCGACGCGGCGGACCTTGTCGAGGACTTGGTCGATCAGCTCCTTGCCGACCGTGTAGTGGCCACGGGCATAGTTGTTGGACGCATCCTCCTTGCCCGTGATCATGTGCTCGGGGTGGAAAAGGCCGCGGTAGGCGCCGGTGCGGACCTCGTCGACGACGTTGGGCTCGAGATCGCAATAGATGGTCCGCGGCACATACTTGCCGTTGCCTGTGGGAATCTGTAAGAGACGAATCCAGCATCCGGGGGGTCAGGGGAGATGACTGTCTTACCAGTCTCGGAGAAGAAGGTGCTGAAGCCGTGGTCGGGGTCAGCCTGCTTGCGCTCCTCGGTGAGGTAGCCATCGGGCTGAAGTAGCGGTCAGTAAACAGGTCCCAAGGTTAAAGCGAACGGTGAGCAAAAAGAACACACCTGAATGCCGTGCTCAAGGCAGTAGAGCTACAAGTCGTCAGCATCATCGACATGGCAGAGGCGGGAAGACATCGCATCGGCCGAGCTCGCCGTAATGTTGAGCCAAGTCGATAGGGCGACAGACATACCTCCCAGCAAGAGTTGGCGATCTGGCAACCGGCCTGGCCGACTATTCGAAAACAATGTTAGCAACGATGTCGAACACCAAGACCCGATTTCTCGATGCCGAAGCTGCAGGATTGCGCTGCGGCCCCAAGCATCGATAGATGCGGTGTGCAGAGAATCGCGCCACCTGGGGCGACAAAAATGCAGTGATGCTTTCCCTAACGTACCGTTCAAGCTGATAATCTCACGCATCTTGATAGTGATGTCGAGAAAGCGTGCAAGTTGGTGAATGGAAAGTTGAGCAGATCGGGAATGGCGACTGGAGGCCGAGGGACGACTCGCAAACTGGCGGAGAGTGGAAAATTGAGGGTTCAGGGAAGCCTGAGGGTCAGCTTTGGGTGACCGCTGGTGGGGAAATTTGATTGTTGACAGTAGCGTTCCCGATCAAGGCAAGCGCCCCTGGTCCCACCCTGCTTTAGTTATCAGCCAGTCGCGCCGTCCATTGAGATGCAGGGTCTGGTGCGTCCGTGCGTCCGACAGGGCCCCCCGTGGTCCCAATCAACAGGGAATTGCCGCTCACAATCTCCAGCATCAACGTCGGCTTCCTTCACTCAGGAGTCACCTCAGGACATCAAAATTTTCAGAGACAAAGACATCAAGCAAGGCCGCAGAAAGGCGCAACCTGGATTGACAGCAGTTCTCTCATTGATACAGTACTTTGCAATGAGGAGACAAGTCGGTGGAGAAAAGGAAAAGTCAACCCCACGGCTTGACCGTTCCGAGTTCATTTGCCAACACCAAGCCCAACCAATTCTCTGGTTGAAACGGATACTCACTCAGTCCTGCGATTCATCGGCCAACACTGGAAGTTATGGAGTACGGATATAGAGACTCTTCCATAGGTACAGAGGGTAAAAGCACGACGATTAGGAAGTTAAAACCAGCCAGCCCCAATGCTGTCCTGACATATTCAGTTCCTGAACGGGAAAATCAAGGTATCATGAAGTGATCCGGGACATCTGAGGTAAGCAAAAGATGGGGACCACCAAAAAAGGCCAACAATACTCCGTACACCTCGGCGATAAACCAGGCGGCATGTCTCGATCCGAGTGAAGCCTAAACACCCAAGAAAGGCCTCTGCGCATTCCTCGCCCGCTCGGAACTGTATGCGTCGAGCTTGACAGCCACCAAGCAGCACTCAACAGCCGCCTTGCCATTCCTGGTTCCCTGTATTCTCAGCCGCCATTGCCCCCTTCGAACAATCCATTCCTCCTCACCACCCTGACCCTCGTCTGTCCTCCTCCTCTTCCTAGGCATCAGTGTCGTGTCGGTGTGCCCTCCACCCCAGATGTCGTCGTCCTCAGCCGCCGGTGCCCACGGCTTGCCATCCAATACGACGCTCGAATACGAGTCGAGGACCACCTTGACGAGATCCTCACTCAGCGGCGTGTGCCCCGGGCTAGGTGACGCTCCCTCCCCCGCCCCCTGGGTCATCAACAGCCCCATCAACTCCTGCGTGGGCGGCAAGTTCAGCTTGGCAGAAACCACTTCAAGCAGTTTTGTCATGCGCACCCTCATCTCCCCAAAGAACTCGGCCCTCGCATGCACCACAGCCCCCCCTCCACCGCCACCATACCCCGACCCAGCCTCCAACCTCAACCGTGTACTCTCCCCGTCCACCTCCAACACCAGCTCATACCCCTTGGCATCCACATACGGCCGGGCATAGTTGACCCACGCCAGAAACGGATCCCCCGCCGTCGGCTCCCCAGCAACCGAGATCCCACTCTTAAGAAGATCCCTCAGCCGCACCACAATCTCCTCCCGGCCCCGCGCCAAGTTGAAGGCGATGGCATGCGGGATCAGCCGCTGCTCGGCGCCCTTGAAGTTGTAGTACTTGCAGTCCCGCAGCAGCTCGGCCCTGTGCTCCTCGTCGCGGACGTGCACGGGGTACCCCCTTAGTAGGTGTAGTAGCTGCGCAAACACGTCAGGGCTGCGGCCCTCGACCGAGGGCGGGATGATGGACGGCGGGCGCAGCAGGCCATCGCGGTCGAGCCCCGGGAACAGGTCGCTGCCGGGGGCGGAGAAGAAGGCGGCGAAGCCGAGAGTGAAGAAGTTGGGGCTGTTGCCCGGGTCCAGGAACAGGTCGCGCGGGATGCGGAACTGCACGCCGCCGACCGTGGTGAAGATGGGTTCCTCGTAGAGCTGGGAGACTAGTTTGGGGACTGTGTTTGTTTTTGGCCGGGGAGAGCTGTTAGCGGATGTGGAGCCCGATGGTCGGATAACGTTACCATGGGATTTGACTTACGGTGGTAGAACTGGGCGTCGGCGAAGAGGCGCACAAAGTGGGTTGAGTCGCGCGGCTGGACGTGGTAGCCCTGGAGGTGCAGCGAGATGTCGCGGAAGGTGATGGGGTCGCGGTCAATGTAGAGGGTGCGGATGACCGCGGCGGGGTCGAGGCCCTGCTCTTCTGCTTGCTTGAGCTGGCAGCGGAAGTACTGGGAAAAGTACGAGGGTGCTGTGTGTCACCGTGTCAGCGAGCTTTCACACAACCTGAGACCACAGCCTGGACACCCCCAACTGGCGGGCAAACACACCGTCGGATGAAATGGACGCGCCCGAGAGCTTGAACAGCTCACATCCTATCTGGATCGGAAAGACACGTTCATGTGGGAGGAGTTTAGGAATTCGGTTGGCCGAGATCAATGACTCCGGCTCGGGGAAGCCGTCCTCGGCGGCTGTGGTCGACATGGTTCAAGTGGCGTCGTCGACGTCAATCATGTCTCAGCAAAACTAGACTGGCAGCCTGACCTTTCCAGGTTACGGAGCATTCTGTGGTTTATCATGGGTCATTAATCATGCAGTTGCCGCCAGTATCCTCCAGAGTCCGAGCGGTTAACGTAAGGTATGACTAGGTAGGGCTGGAATCGTTGGGTGGTCAGTAATCACTGCCAGCTGGCAAGACACTCCTGACGGATTGGCAGTTCAGGTTGTCGCCCAACTCTTCTTGATGTCCATGAAATGGACTCGCGAGAGTTTTCCAAAGCAGTGTTACAAGGCTACGTACCACAAGAGAATCTCGCACTACCCATGGATCTCGAAGATCTTGAGCTCTAAGAGAGGGGCTCAGGCAACTTTGAAGTTTTGATAGGGAAAATGTCAAAGCAAAAGGCAATGCGCGAACCGAGATTCGAACTCGGGTCACTCGCTATTCCAAGACAGGATGGGAAGCGAGAATTCTAACCACTGAACTATTCGCGCTTATTTTGCCACATTGATGTAGTAGCGGCCAATTCTCAATATACAGCTAGGAGCCGAGGATTTGAAGAGGACTTCCTGAACGTTCAAATGATGAGACCCGTGAACATCATCCAAGAACGAACTGCTGCCTTTTCACGACTGTCAGAACGCCACGGAGACTTCTGCTCCTGACGTGTAGTCAGAGATATTGTATTATGGCTGAGAAGAACTAACAGTCTCCAAAAACAGTTGAATATCAACATTGGCACCAGTGAAGAGCTGCACTTTTGCTTGTACGAGACTGCCCACCACTACTCTGCCTCCAGGATCCGGTTATCAGTCCAAATAGGTTGTGTAAAAAACTGCATGTAGTCAGTTAGCCTCTGACACTTAGCCAGCTTCAAGTTGATATTGGCACTGGAAAGTGCCTGTGGACAGTGGGATGAGCATCCAATGTTCATAGCTCTATGGTGATGGATGGGAGTGAGGTTGGTCACCAACCGTTGGTGAGTCGGGGATTACGGCGCTTCATGTTGAGCATGAGGCCGGAAGGAGGATTGAGTTGAAGGGATGGGTGCTTCTGAGATTCAAGGTTAGGTTTTGTGTGCTTGGGCTAGTTCTCGCGTTCTGAGCGCCAAGGGAACCGCTGATGGTGTGTCAAGTGGTATGTTTCTCTGAGGTTCTGCCAATGTCCTGTCAACTTCGTTCTAAGCAAGTTGCCTTACGTCAAGGAATCAGATACAAGAAAGGATCGTGCCTACAACCCGTGTCATACCTCACTATCAAACGAGGCCGCTGATAGCTCCAGCAGCATAAGAAAAGCCTTGGATCTGAGGACAGGATTTGATCAAGTGTAAAGAACATGCATTAAAACGATCCCTCGCTGTCCTATGCAAAGCAGAACAAGATACAAACACAAAACACTACAGGCTAGCCAGTCCCAATACAATGTCCAGAACCATGCACCAGCCAACGCCAGTGTGAATGCTTGCCCTGTTAAAAAAGAAAGCATGTACACCGGGCCAAATGCTGGCGCCGCTAACAAAGCGAGCCCTCCTCCCCGGCCCCAGGGTCATGACAATCAACCAACAATAAGGAAAAACTCAGCCTCTGTCCAGATCGCCTTCTTTCGGGTGGATATCCATCCACACCACCAAACGACAACTCAACAAACCACTGCATCCAACCACCCTAATCCAACAGCTCCAAGACAAACACAACTCAAAAAGCAAACCAGAAACCACCCACCAGAGCAAGGTAATCCATCAGGACCGGACCCTCCTCACAGCCGACATGCCCCTCACCGTCCCGTTCCTCCCCGCAGCAGCAGCAGTAGGCGCACTAACCTCCCGCCGAACCTCTCTCTCCCGACCCCTCTCCTCCGCTCCACTACCACCACCACCACCATAAACCCTCCGCCCTCCAACCAGCTCCCCGCTGCTGACCTTCCTCCTCACCACCCCACCACCACCAGTCTCACTATTACCAGAAACCTTCCTCCTCACCTCCCCCAAACTCCCACCGCCAGTCCCAACAGCAGCACTAGAACCCGAACCCGACCCCGAGTTGGAACCGTTAGACCCAACCCGCCCCACACTCCTCGCCCGGCCCCTGCGCTCCCTGATCTGCGCGAGCGCCTGCTCCCTTGACATGGTGGGCGTCAGCGCAGGGTTGGTCGTGTCGAAGCTGGGCCTGTCCGGGTCGTCGTCCTCGCCGTTCTCGTTATTGTTCCCGGTTTGCCGCGACGGGGTGCGCTGCATCTTCATCAGGCGCTGCGCCAGCGTCGGGCCGTCGGCGGGTTCCTCGCGCAGCGGGACTTTGGTTGTTGTCACCGTCTTTGCGGTTGGTTGGTAGTGCGAGGTTGTGGTGTGCGGGCGGGTTCGCGGGAGTACTGGCTCGGCGGTGGTGTGGGATGGGAGAGGGTCGGTGAGGGGGGCGGTTATGGAAGAGGAGGAGGATTCGAGCGGAGGGATGGCGATGTCGCGGGGTGGGAGGTGGGCGGGTCTGATGGTCGAGGGCGCATTGGGGTCGTCCTCGGGCTCGGCTCGGTGGGCTTCAGGGTCCGGACCCGGGGTTGTGGGGATGTTGAACTCTGGGCTGGGGTCGCGTCGGTGCGGTGCGTCGAGCAGCGAGAGCAGCGAGGTGCGCTCTTTGTGGTTCACGGCAAACTGCGTGGGCTCGACCGACGGCGTGCGGCGGTACATGGGGTCGCTGTCCGTCGGCGTGATGGGCATGCTCGGTGCCGACTCGGTGTGTGATGCTACCGACGAGGCTGCCGATTGTGCTGCTATGGCATCGGCTTCAGCCTGAGGCACTGTCCGGAAGATGCCTTCGGCAGCACAAAAGATGGTGCTTCGCCTTGGCTCCCTGTCCACCCTGAGCATGTCCGTCTTGGACCGCCTGGGCGTCGGCTTGGGGGGTTCCACGGAAGCCTGGCGACTCTCGCTAAGAATCATCGAGTCTCCGGCATCCGATAGTGTCAGGACGCTGGCTCGCTTCCGACGTGGACTAGACCGCCGGCTCGAACAGTTGCCGCGCAGCTCCCTGGCGGCTGAGCAAATCTTCAGCTGGCATTCGGCCTCGAGGAACTCAACCTGCTCCAATGCGCGGTCCGCTCGCTGCTTCTCCCATTCCCACAGCATCGTGACCGTCTCCATCTCGGGGTCGTTTGTGGCCGAGGAGGCGGAGGACAACCGAGCACGCTTACGCGGTCCTGTAGAAATGTCTGCTTCTTCACCCTCCTCTGAGGCAAGGCGCCTGAGCTCCGCTTCGTTCCTGGCCAGCGTTTTGATGGCGTCGAGTTCCTGCTCCAGCATCTTGATTTGTTGTTGGGCCTGGTCCAGCTGTGCCTGCAAGCCTACCAGCTTGTACTGGGCATCAAAGGCCTCGTGCTCCCGCGCCGTGCTGCGCTCCCGCTCGGCCTGGAGCTCATCCTCGGCGGCTTTCTGCGCCGCCCGGCAGGACTTGAGCTCTTCCTGCACCTTAACGAGAGAGCTTTGCACCTTGAAGGTTTCTTTTCGGGCGCGGCGAATCTCTTTTTCCCACAATTGTTGTGAGTGGCCGTACGTCTCTTTAGCACGTGCGTAATTTTCCTGCTAAAGTTAGCTGGGCGGCCCTGTCGCATGCTCTGGGGGAGAAATCAGCGCACCATAACTGCCTCCAACCTCTCTCCGACCCTCCTTTCCCTGTCCTTTCCCTCCTCAACCTGCCTCCTCAACTGCCTCGCCTCGTCGCGATACCGGCGCATCTCCGCTTCGGCTTCCTCGCGCCCGAGCATGGCGCGCTTGAGGGCGGCATCGGCTGTCTTGCGTTCGAGCTGCTTAGTCTGTATGGCGAGGCTGTTGAATTGGTTGATCTTCTCGTGGACCGAGCTGTCGCGGGCGGAGGCGCTCTCTCCGAAGTTGTTGCGTTGCTGCTGCGAGGTAGAGAACAGCGCCGAGTCGCGCTGGGGATTGTGCGAGACGGGCTGCAGCGGCTGGCCGCCGTCGGCGGGGCTCGACGGTCGTGACATTGTCGAGCGGGTACTATCTACTATTATGATCTCATGCAATGCGACTTCTTTGTTGGTCGTGTGATGTTTGTGTCTCCCTTGTGGGATGGACTGAAGGCCGCGATGCGCAATGTTGTTTCGCGAACCGATCCGATGGCAAGTGGAGAACGTCGCGGGGCAAGGAGAGCGCGAGTCAAGACGAGGACTGATAATGCAATCTGATGTATGCTGATGCGCGCATCGTAGTCTGCAGAATGCGACTTCCACGTCCAAGTGGGCGATGAATGTGTGAGATGTCAATGGTCTCGTGTGCCACTGAGTGTTTAATTTGGTTGTAACGTTCGCTAGTTATTTACCGCCCCAATTGACAAATTGATGCTGCCAATCACTGGTGGCTTGTCTGACTAGGGTAGTTGCCACGGGCGACGAGGGATGGTGGGGTGCAGCCTCGCGTCCAAGGACGAGAGAAGAACACACGGCCCAATCGCTTCGGAGCTCGAGTGCAACATCCCACCTCAGCCTTGCATACCCGGTTCACCCGCGAGACAATCTGGCACCATCGACGGAAGTGATATGCCGTGATCCTCGTCTCGATCTTCCACAGATCAGGATTGAGAGTGTCATTCTTCTTTGACATATCCAGTCTCCACACAATGGCTGACGAACCCTCTGTCCGGCGGCGCAAGCCCGAACCCAAATCTACCGAGTCCCTTGTTTCCGAATCAGTCGAATCGGACACGGAACAAGTCGAGGAGCAGATTCCAAAGAAACCCAGGAGGAAGTCCCCGCATGAACGGCTGGACGATGACGAAGCTTACAGCACGGCCTCGCTCTGTGTCGACATTCTCCGCGTCCTCACCTTCATCGGCCTCGCCTGGATCGGCCTGAGCTACCTCATCTCAAATGGCGATACCTACTCGTGGGGCCTCTCCGACCCGCCCAAATACGTCAATCCGGAATGGTGGATGAAGAAATTCGTACGCCTTCCCCCCGCACCTCCGTTTCCCTCCCTTCTACCCACCACCACAGCCTCCCGTCTAACTGTCGTGACAACCCCAGCGCGGCCCGATCTACCTCACACCGACCGAACTCTCCGCCTACGACGGCAGCGACCTGTCCAAGCCAATTTACCTCGCCATCAACGGCACAATCTACGACGTGTCCTCCAACACGCGCACCTACGGGCCGGGCGGGTCGTACCACTACTTTGCCGGGTGCGACGCGGCGCGGGCGTACGTGACGGGCTGCTTCGCCGAGGACCGCACGCCCGACATACGCGGGGTCGAGGACATGTTCCTGCCGCTCGACGACCCGGCCGTGGACCGGCACTGGAGCGCGCAGGAGCTGGAGGAGATGAGGGGGCGGGAGCGGGAGGCGGCGCTGAAGAAGGTGGACGATGCGCTGAGGCACTGGGCCGAGTTCTTTAGGAAGAAGCCCGAGTACGAGTTTGTCGGCTACGTCAGGATGCCGGAGGGGTGGCCTGACACGGAACCGAGGAGGCCGCTATGTGAGCAGGCGGCGAAGCGGCGGA